TTCTTAAATATTTATTTATTAAAATGTCAAGAAATACCCCAGTTTGTATTACTATTTATTTAGTTTTATGTAGTAAAGATATTAAATGAAATCACACCGAATTAAAGAATATTTATGTTAATTACATACCCATACAACTATATATGTTAATATTCTTTGATTTAATTTTCAAATATTGGTTTAAAATTACTGCAAATATTATATTTCCTTAGATAAGAATAAAGGTTTCATTTACTTTGGAAAAAGTTTCATTCTATTTGTAAAAGGTTTCATTTCAATTGGAAAAGGTTTCATTCTATTTGTAAAAGGTTTCATTTCAATTGGAAAAGGTTTCATTTAATTTGGAAAAGGTTTCATTTGATTTGGAAAAGGGTTCATTTAATTTGGAGAAGGTTTCATTTAATTTGGAAAAGGGTTCATTTAATTTGTAAAAGGTTTCATTTAATCTGGAAATGCTATATATGGTGGAGGGTATCCAAAGTTCGGCCTGGCCGAACTTAACGCTTTTACACTTATTTCTATCTAAAATATATTCATACATTGAACTAGTGCGTTTAACGCAATCATTAAATAGTAATAATCACATGAATTATTTATATTTCAAAAACTAAATTTTTTATAACAATATTTTTTTAGTTTCTTGCAATCTCCAAGAATATTTTTTCTATTTTCTAATTTATTTTATTTATTTATAATTCCTAATTTCGATGATATGGAAGGAAGTTGCATGTGTTTCCACGAAACAGTTATTTTCCACTAGTAAACGTCAACACACAATTTCTTTCAGTGCTTCTTTTGATTGTCTCACACATACATTCACACTTTGACATTCTCTCACCGTGTGCATCACTGGAGTAGAGCTTTACAACGATCGTTGAGTAGTGTGTGGAAAGCTCTCTGTTGAGAGTAAAAAAGCAGCGCACTCAACAACCCAGTGGGAAAAAGTAATCGATGGTAAACGAACGGGTAATGTACAGCCACTACGATTTATTGATCACAGTATGCATTATCCGTAACACGCTGCATGTCCTAGGAAAATAATACATTCCTGTATAATACTATCCATATAATGCATAATGTAATCGATAAGTGATAATATATTATTTTATAGGTCCTTACTAATATATTAAATAATTTATTCTCGAGATTTTATAAAATAATTTGTTGGTTTTAAATGAAAAACAATTGTTTTTATTCAAATATTTTAGAATTACAAATATAACGACATTACATTTAGATTTAAAAAAAATAATAATAAGAATATTTTTATGATTTTATCACTTACACTTTTTAAGATCATATTCCTAATTTATGGGAATGCTGCCAAAGAACGGTATCCAGTTTTATTGCAATTATGTTAAAGATCAACTCCACAATTTGTTTTTATTGTAATCTTTATTCACTTTATTTGCACAACGTTTCTTTTTTTATTATTTTTTGTTAATAATTTTCTACCGACTTTTGAAAACTACGTCCTTATTGGTGCATGACACATACAAAACTGACAAATTTATACTCCAACATGAGGGAGTGGGCAGATAACGGGAATTCAAAAATAAAAATCAAGTAATGAGAGAAACATTTCATTACCTTATCGTATCCTTTGAGAAAGGAGTAGGTAATTAGTATGAAGTTTTCTGTCAATTGAAATTACCCTCCCGTTAACTTTTGGATATATTGTATAATGTATCTCCTATAATGCCTTTAATAATTTAACTTTTTGTTCAATTACATTCTTTTCTCGATTCTTATGGATACACTATAAAATGTGATGATTATAATGTATTACTAAATCGATTCTCAATGTTCTCACTTTTCCCACTGGGATAAAGGTCTGTGTTGTGAAGTGAAAGTGATAACTAACGCGATATAGTTAAAAAAGTGATTGTGCCAACAGTTAGTGTGCCAAAAATAAGAAAAATATTATATAGGCTATTGACAGTCCTTGTAATCAAAGACTTTGTTTCAAATTTTTGGACGAGGCATTTTGCCTAGGTCGGTTAAAGATATTCAAAAAATTTTAACGCCACAATTGTGCTCTGCGAGCAGAACCCAGCACAACTTTTATTTTTTTCGAATTTCGAAAATTGCAATTCTGGCATATGTTCGAAAGTTGTATTTCTTTAGAAAATGGTAAGAAATATTGAAAAATTTTGTTTTTGCAAAGTAGTCAGGCTGAATCCCAGTTTGTTGTTTTTATAAAAAAAACAACTATTTATTAGTGGGAAATGTATGGCATTGTTGCCGATCTAGCGCGCAGAAAATAAAACAATGAAGTTGACGGAAACTTTAAAACATTATTGCAGTTTTAAAGTAGAGTGTTGAGTGTACTTAAGTCCGTATAAAATAATCCGGAATAACGGTACATTTAAAATAGAAATGTTTTCCAATGTTAAAAATGGTATTTTTTAGCTTTAAAATTGCGATGGCCGTGTGGATTTTGTGAATATATTATTATAAAATTTTGTCCATTTTGATATATAGTATCGGTATTTAATTTAATGGTATAGTTATATAACCCATAATCTATTTTAATTTAGGTGTTTCGGGCTAAATATATGTAAGGTCCGTTTTTTTAAATACCTTCAATTAAAATAGGGGTTTAGTATGGAGTGCAGTCGAGTTCAGCGTTGATTTTTGTTTTATTTTTCTTGGGTGTCTGTCTAGAACATCATACTAATTTTTTTCCTGCGACTCTCGGATTTATGGCAATTTTTTGAAAAAATGCCAATTTGGTGTAGGAAGCTTTTTTAAGGTTTTGTTCAAATAAAATTAAAAATTTGTGAAGTTTTTTGATATAATTTATCAAATTTGACTTGGAATAGATCACTGCATTGCAAATAAGAAAAAAACAAGTCCAATATGTCCATCCTAAGGTTCCAGAGTACTGGATGTGCGTATGAAAATGAGGGTATTTAAGTAAGCTGCCCAAACGCTGATTGTAAACTCATGCACTGAATATACATTTATTCCAAATGTCTCTCTAAATAAAAATTGAAATTACAACGAAATCGGTTGTAAGAGTCTTCTAAAATACCGCAGGTAAAGAGTCCACTTTATGAACCCTGGAAAAATATCATTGGTGTAACATTCATATATACACTGTTTTATCTATATTTATGATTTTCGTGGAGGTGGAGTTTATGGACTTTTATTATACCTGTTATGGGGTTTCCAATGACTGACATGACTTCGGATGACTTTGTCATACGAATTTCGTTAGGGTCAGATACAGGTATCAGTTACCTATGAATGCAAAAATACATATTATTTATAGATTTTTCTACCTATGAATGAAAAATCCGCATTTAACAAATGTTCACTCATAGATTTTCCTCATTTAATAAGTGTCAAAGAACGGGATTATACAAGTTATAAACAAGTGAATAACAATTTATTTTAGTTCTTAAACAAGTGAAGTGGAAAATGTCAATTTTGTACAGAGAGCTCTTTGAAGGTTGGCTAAAATCTAAAAATGGTTCTGATGTAAAAGAATATATATTAAATAGACTTGGAGTTAATGCTACCGATTATGCAAACGCTAAAGGGATTTGTCGAACAGTTACCACGCTATGTACGCGAGTTAAAACGAAATGGATGGGCGCCAGAAGGAAGAAAAAACAAATGGAGCGTCAGTATGGAAATTGGCAGATATAATTAAATGTGCAGCTTTGCCCATAGGAATGTTGTCTGAAGAAGCCATGGAATCCAGAAATAAAGACTTTCGGAACTACAGGGAACTGTACACCAGAAAAATTAGTCGTGAGGAAACAATGAGGGATCGTTTCAATAGGTTGCTATTTTCTTCTGATCCAAAAATATCAAGTTTGTCTCGTAGTACATCTCTTAACCATCGATATAGTGAGTCACTATCTGAAGAAGTCCTTAAACTACTGGAGGATCCAATGCTACCAACTAATTCCGATCAAAACTCGGATTCTGAGTGTCATTTGTATTTAATAAGTAACGCCTAAATTTTGTAAAATATATATAGTTCAATATTTTAGATATGTAATATTAACAATAATAAAGATATATATAATAACAATAGTGTTTGCCCTTAACCCACTTTTTACCTCCCAAATGTTTCGGAATTTTTAAAAGAAGCTCCCATTTTAGGAGTACTATTAGTTATAACGAAAAATGTTGCTTATAAAATGTTTCAAATGCTTCAAAATAGTAATTTTCACCTAAAAATTTAAGTTTTTTCTAAGAAAACCCGGCGCTTAATGGGTTAATAAAAAAAATTGCCAAATTTTTTTCATAAAATAATTAAAATTGTCTATCTAAATCTATTCTTATCCAAAATATCGTTAAACATACAGTAAGACATCTACTTTTATTTTCTGCGCGCTAGATCTGCATTTTCCCCACTGTGGGATCCTCAGCAGTTCCCTTAGTTTTTTGTTGGGATATTCTGCCTTACCCCTCGGCAAACAACACTAAAAGTTATGGTAGGTACTCCTCCATTCAATTTAAGGGGGAAGAGGGCATTTCATAGTTTCCAATGGCTGCCTGTTAGTGTTAATTGTTTAAAAAATTTAAAATATTTATTAAGCGAATTATAATACAAGGGTATAAGATTGTCAAAAAGTGTTAAACCTATTATATAATATATGTAATTATAAATAGTTTTTTTCAAATCCGATGTAGCAACAAATATTGCATTCAAAGGGAAAAACCTCCTTGAATATTAAAGGTGGTTTACATTTAACCGGATTTGATTAACCCAGTGGGTTTAAATTTTCAATTCCTTTGAATATATGCCAAATAAATCCTCATAAAGTAGGTTAACCCGGTAAAAAGTTCTAATGTAAATGCCGTATTACAAATAAAAGGATAAAGATAAATTAAACCAATGTATTGTTATAATAAAAACACTTTTCGAAATTTCATAGCTGGATTCTTTACATTCGTACCCCTAGGTCTTTTATTTGTAATTAAGTACATGTAGTTTGGTTTAGGTACATGTTCTAACGTGTATTATACATTTCTTCTAGTACAACAAAAGCCAAGGAATAAGGCAGCTTCTTGAAAAGAAGGTACTACCCTATAGAGACCCGAAAGATTTGCCAGTATACACCAATTTGGAAGAAGCTCTACCGTATATCAAGAAAGGAGGGTATGCTTTTCATTGTGAAGTCGTTGATGCGTATCCCGAAATTGCAAAACAGTTTGATGTTGCAGAAATATGTGATTTGCGAGTAGTGTATGGCCTTTTAGTATCCGAACTATTGAATTTTGTCATCCACAAAAACAGTCCATATACCGAACTTTTTCGCATCGCGTAAGTATTAAAAATCATTCATGAATTATTTATTACTAAACACAAATAAAAATCGTTATGTGACAAGAGACCTTTAAGTGGGAAACACATACGAGGGTTCAGACCTATACTTTTAAGTTGGCTTTGTATGAAATGTGAATTTATAAAGCAATATCAAAGTTAAACTTGATTTTAGACCCCATTTTCCTTTATTATTTTACATTAAATAAAGCCAAATTAACATGCCAATTCGAGTCATGAGTGGAAACATCACACCGATTATTGTTCTAAACAGTGGTTCTAGACCCCATGTTTCTTTGAACCAAATTGGTTTCAAAAAATTTGTTTTCATCCAAACTTTGCCCATCTTATTATTTCTTCCAAAATTAGTTCAAGTTCGAACATGGGGAATATCGGTCCACTCCTTCTGGTACCTCCCTCACAGGGGCTAGGCCTAAATGCGGGTTACAGTTCATATATATGAATATATATACAGTAGAACTTCGATAATTCATAATTCAAGGCACCAAACAAGTGAAAAATCGTTAAGTTCGGCCGGGCCGAACTTTGGATGCCCTCCACCATAGTTATACTGACAGATACATGTAATGAAAATATAGGGAACATACCAAAAAGTGGGTATATACCGATAATTCTACAAACCGATTTATGTAAACCATTATGTACACCAAATACAAACTTCATCAATTTTTAATGGGGATTTTTCCTAAAATCTGCAAGATACAAAAAAGATCCATGTTTGAGGTTTCTTTTATCACAATACTTTAAAAGGCGGAATGCTTGCAACAGATGGCTAAATAGTCTTTGTAGGGTAAAAATTGACTATTCCCCGTAACGACTACCCAACCGCAAAACACGGAACAAATCATATAACTATTTTAATATAAAAAAGTGGGTTATATGGGGACTACCCCTAAAAAGGGGTGAATATTAATAATTTTTGGTGGGGAGATTTGTTACCATATACCACTACAAAATACCAAATTTTAGCGAATTCGGTTAAAAACGCGCTCAAGAACCTCAAAATATCGAAAATTTGAGGTACCCTTATATGGGGACTACCCGAAAAAAATTGACCTATATTTATAATTTTCTGTGGAGAGATTTGCTATCCAATAATAACTGAAATTACTAAATTACAGCCAAATCGGTGAAAAAATCCGGTCAAAATCCCCCAAAAACTGGAAATTGGGAGGTACCCTTATATGGGGGCTACCAGAAAAAGTGGACCTATATTTATAATGTTTAGTGGGGAAATTTGGTACCCAATAAGAACCCAATGTACCAAATTTCAGCGAATTCGGTTGAAAACCGCGCTCAAGAATAAACTGGGGGTACCTTTATAGGGGAGCTATGCCTAAACGTGGACCGATATAGCACATCTTCGAACTTGACCTGCCTGCAGACAAAAGACGACTCTATGCAAAATTTTGGGGCTCTATCTCAATTCGTTTAGACGCTAGAGTGATTACAACAGAAAGACGGACATGCTTAAATCGTCTTAGAATTTTACGCTGATCGAGAATATATATATGTACTTTATAGGGTCGGAAATGATTATTTCGATGCGTTACAAACGAAAAACAAAACTAATATACCCTCCGAGGTGTTTTAATTTATTGAAATATTAATATAAACATTCAGAAAAAAACAAAATCTTCAATTCATATAGCTTAAAAAAGTACACTTGATTTAAAAACTAAAGTAAATGAAATTAAACATGAAAAAAGTCTGATATAAGGTTGTTTAAGGCTATTTTCTCGTATTTTATCTACTGAGTTTTCTATATTATAGCCTAGACAGACGACAGCCTTAATTTGAATTAACAGCCTTAATTCAAATTAACTTGTACATTATCCTCATTTTTATGAGTTGTTAATGCACAAAATCGAACTGAATTTATACTGAATTAGGCAATTTCAATATGGCAATGCTGTCGAAAATTAATTGTTTCTTGTCAAAATTATTTATATTTATGAAAATAAAAATAAGAAATGAAGTCAAATTTCAACATTTTTTAAATTGGGAGCTGTTTTGCTAAGATCATAGTAGCTATTCCTCTTTTATGTCATGTATCTGTTTCCTAAAGATGTAATCCCGAAAATATCGAAACAAATGTAAAAAATTTTCATCCTACACACAGGCAAACAATTGTTTTGAAGCAAAAAAACTGTTTCGTAAATGCAGAAACTCTCGTCTGTCAGGGGTAAATATTAATTCAAATTAAGAAATTTTTAATGCAAATTAAGGCTGTCGTCTGTCTATGGTATTAGACTCTCGGCATTGTCTACCATAAAACTAAAGCCTTTTCTACATCGGGTTACTCTGGTAATTTTTGCTTTGCTACTAGGAGAAGATTGAAAAATGAAATATCTCTTTTTTAATACAGTATTTTTCGATTTATTGACCCTACGGTTAATTTGTTTCCCCGCTTAATTGAACCACATGGGGCGACAAAATATTGCATAGGGATAAGTAAATCGACTTTCGACTAATCGATTAATCGACTTTTTGTATTAAAAAGTCTAAAAGTCGAAGTCGACTTTTGATCGATGAGAAAATCGTAAAGTCGACTTTTCAAGATCGACCTTCGATTTTCTTCATAAATACTTGGTTTTTATCACAAAGCTCGAATTGCCCAAACATTTCACTTTCCGAACATTACATTAACTGTTCACAATAATTCATATGAAAAATTAAATTTTTGGTCGATTTTGCAGAAGTCAGTAAAAGTCGAAAATCGATTTTGAACAGTTTTGACAAAATCGAAAGATCGAAAAGTCGACTTTTTAGTCAAAGGCAAAAATCGAAAAGTCTAAAAATCGACTTTTTGGTCACATGCAAAAATTTAAAAGTCGACTTTTGCGCTCGACTACGTATCCCTAATATTGCATATGAAAACACATGTAAATTTCCTCGGATAATTAATCCCTGTTAATTGTTTTTCCTGTTTAATTGGTTCAAAATTCATGTCATAAATAATAAATTTCATCTTATTTTTCACCGGTTAATTGCATTATTATTGCAAAATAATCTGGCACTTTTATTGACCGATGGTTCCTTTTGAGAATATGCATAAAATCACTTTCTGAGTCGATTTATGCATGTTCGCCCGTCTGTAGATGTTAATTTGTAAACAAAGTACAGGTCACATTTATAATCCGATTTAGATGAATTTATTTGTCCCAAAGACGATCCCTATTGAAATTCTAATTCTAAATTTAGCATAGGTTGTAGAATGGCATATGTATGGATTGATGTTAGTCGGTTCACATAAATATAGATCAAGATCACTTATTAAAGTTCATTCAATTTCATGTCAATGTTCCTTCGAAGAGCGGATACATGTAGAACACACCAAAGTGGTGAAGGGTATCATATAGTCGACCCAGTCCGACTTTACTACTTTCCTTACTGGTTTTAGATACATATTTGACATCATTAATGAATAACACTAGGCTACATCTCTACTAATTGAAAAATATGTTTATTGGTAAGGAAAAACCGCGAGAGAGCGTAAGTGTGATTTCTGTAATTGAACAAACAGTTCAATTAAACGGGTATCTGATAATTGGTTCCTCGGTTAATTGAACAAAAAATTTTTGATGTGCAATTAACCGAAAAATACTGTACTGAAGTAAGCGTTGATGGCGCTTACTTGACTGCGCTAAGTGATTGTGTAATTTCGCAAGAATTGTTAATGCCATGTACAGACGAGCGTTGTTCGCTCTCTCATTCGTCGTTCGACCCTCAATTATGAAGTAATTACTTAGTTCCCCATACAAATTTTTCTGAATCACTCTCCAAACAACAAAGAAATTCGTCCCATCCCTAACAATTGAGAGCATTTATCGAAAATAAATTAATTTTGACAGCTGGAAAATATTTATAAAATTTTCAAACTTTTTCAGTAAAATTGAAAATGATGAATGAAAAGTAACAAATTGTCTAGTTTTTATATATGCAGCAGGATGTAAATTTTGTTATCTTCGTAATGCAATATGCATTTTTCCCCTTTGGTTCTAATTAGCGTGCAAAACAAGAAACAAATGTGGGGAAACCCAAACAAAAATTCTTCAATTTTTTATTTACATATACATACATATGTGACATTTGAATTCAGAAAATATAAAAATGTATGAAAACAACAATATTTTCAGAAAAAATGAAAAACATGAATTAAAAGTAAATAGATATGGGTTCATGCTATAGTCTGCAGAAAGCGAATTATTTTTTCTATTTAGATCCATATGTGATTCAAGCAAATATGTTACAATTTTGGTGTAAAACAAGAAACAAAAAGTTTAAAATAAAAAACTCTGATGACATGAATTAAGAATAGTGTTGTATGAACGGGATAATTCATGTACATAATTCTGAGAGCGAACTGCTTTGTTCGAATGCCCGTCAGAACAGAGTCTTTGAACCAATCCCAAACACGGAACAAATCATAAAACTATAAAAAAATGGGGTTATATGGGAACGACCCCAAAAAGGGGGCGAAAATTAAATAATATTTGTTACCATATACGACTACAATATACCAACATATAGCGACTTTTGTTGAAAAACGCGCTCAAGAACCCCAAAATGCCGAAAATTGGGGGAGAGATTTGGTACCTATTAAGAACTCAACATACTAAATTACAGCCAATTCGGTGGAACAATGGGATCAAAACCCTTAAAATACTGAAAATTAGGAGGTACCGTTATATGGGGGATACCAGAAAAAGTGGACCTATATTTATAATTTTTTGTGAAGACATTTAGTTCCAATAAGAACCCAATATAAAAAATTTCAGGGTATTCGGTTGAAAAACACGTTCAAGAACCCCAAAATACCGAAAATTGGGGGGTACTGTTATATGGGAGCTATGCCTAAATGTCGACCCATATATCGCATCTTCGAACTTGACCTGTCTGCAGACAAAAGACAAAACTATGCAAAATTTCAGCACCCTATCTGAATTCCTTCAGAAGATAGCGTGATTACTACAGAC